GGTGCTGATGGCGCCAACGGCTTGGCGGGCGATCTGTCGCCGTCGATTATCGACATGGACATCTTTACGCAGCTGCTCGAGATGGACGACGAGGACGACCGCGAGTTCTCCAAGAGCATCGTGTGGAACTACTTTGACCAGGCCGAGACGACGTTTGACGAGATGGACGCTGCGCTCTCGTCACAGAACCTCGGCGAGCTATCGACGCTCGGCCACTTTCTCAAGGGCTCCTCGGCGGCGGTGGGTGTGATCAAGGTGCGCGACAGCTGCGAGCACATGCAGCACTACGGCAAGTGCCACGGCGAAGACGGCATGAGCGAGCTCACCAAGGACGAGGCACTCAAGAAGCTCACCATCACGCTGCGCGACGTCAAGGTGCAGTACAAGGAGGCCGCCAAGGCGCTCAAGGCCTTCTATGACGAAGAGGACGAGCAGGGAGACACACACGACGACGCACAAGCACAACCAGAGCCAGCATCCGTCGACGAACCAACACAGCAGAAAGTCGACCCAGTTACAGAAGAAAAGGCAGAGTCCAGTCCAGCACAAGTGGCTGCCAAGGCGTCCAAGGCGGAAGACTCGTCTTGAGAAGCCGCCTTCCCTGCCTCGTTACTTCCGCTCAAGCTGTAGCGAGGCAGTATCCCTTTCGCCCGCCGTCCCGGTATTCGATCGCGCATCTTACATGCTCTCTCCCGCCCCCTTTCATCTCGACGCTCACTTGTACAGCGTTGAGTAATCGTACAATGTTGTGCTCACTCTTTCCCTTTTGCACATGCTGAAGGTCGGCTCAATGTGAGGAAGAGTCCATTGCATGTGGATTAGGACCAGGCGCGGTGTGCGGATGGTGCAAACGCCGAAGTTCCGAGCGGGATCTTGGGCGGCAGTGGAGGAGGTGCAGCAGCCAGTGCTGGGGCGGGTTCATCGTCGTCGAGCGAGCTGTATCTGGGCTGCCACTGATGCATGTTCTGGCCTTTAGGTTGGGCTGACGATGAAGATTCCTGCTGCAGGTTGTGCTGCATAGCATCGCGCGCCGCATAGTAGGCAGCCAACTGGGCCTTTTCGCTCGCTCCTGCCGGCAATGCTGCTCCACCAGCGGGACTAGCGCCGGCATACGCATCAGCCGCCGATCTTACCTGCCCCGCGGACGGTCGAGGCTGTCCATTGGCGGCAGCGGCAGCTTTGGCTTCGGCCTTGGCCGCCTTGCGCGCATAGTGCGAAGCGAGGCGCTCCTTTTCCTCCGCCGACTGCTGTTCCGCCTCGGTGAGATACGACTGTACGCCCGTCGTCGCCACGCCCGCCCGCATCGGTGTAGGCTGCACCGGCACTACGCCATCGGTGGTCGTCGCACGCACGGGCGAGCCCAGAGTATCAGCTGGCTGATGCGGCGTGGCGTGGTGGACGGCAGATGCCACTTCGGGCGCATACATGCCCGCACTGCCCGAAACTTGGCGTGAGCCTCCCGTTTGCAAGTGCTGATTGACCGCATCCCGTGCTTCGTAGTACCTCCTGAGCTGCTCCTTTTCGTTGCCGGCACTCGACGTCGCACCAGCACCGATGGCACTGGAAGAGCCTGCAGGCGCTGATGGGCCCGCGACGGGCGCCGGCGTGCTCGAAGACGCGTGCGCAGGCGCAGCCTGTGGCCATGCGCCCGGAAGCTGCCCGACATTATCGCTGATCGATGATGCTTGGCCGTGCGCAACAGCAGGCCGCGACGAGCCGTCCGCCTCTGCTGCTGGAGCCGACGATGACGCCTCGCCGCGCTGGAACGCTTCCGTCTCGGCCCTGGCGCGCTCGTACAGCTGTCGCTTCTCCTCCTCGGCCGTCATGTACGACGGATACGGAGCCGGTCGTCCCGACACGATGGAAGCGCTTGCACCAGCCTGCATGCTCGGGTTCGAATTTGCACTGTTCGGCCCGCCCTGCATCCCTAACGAGTTACCAGCGCCTGCCGACGGCCCTGGTGCGGCTGATGCGCTCGTCGAGCCGAGATTCATCATGCTATACGGCCGGCCACCGTTGGCGACGGGCGAGGCCGGATTTGAGATGGACATGGCCGCGAGCTGATGCTGTGCGCGACGCTCGTCGGCGCGGCGCTGATTGCGCTCCGCCTGCTGACGCGCCCGCTCGTACAGCCGCTGCTTCTCTGCTTCGGCCGAGCTCATGGGCGCGCTGGCGTCAAACGTGCTCTGCCGCGGGGCCGGCGAGGCCTGGCGCTCCGGGTGAATCGGCTGATGCACAGGCTCGGGACGAACGTACCTCGTAGCGCTGATCTCGGGCGTCGCCGACATGCGGTGTGGAACCTCGGCGTATGGGTTGCGACCGTCCGCGGGCGAGGCAGAGGCGGAATCGCGATGAAGGGCAGGCGATCCCGGCACCGAAGTATAATGCGCAGCGTTGCTCGCATAGCCATTCGCACCGTACTGGGAGTGCCTGTACTGCGACTGGCCATGGTCGTCTTCGCTCTGCTCACGGATCGGCGTGGCGGCGCCGCTGTGACCGTGATACGACGAGGGCGGCATGAGGACGGGATCGACAGCCGTGCCGAGCACCATGGCGCTCTGGGGACGGTTTGTCGAATGGAAGAGCGCGCGCGTCTCTTCGGGCGCCAGCTCGCGGCCCTCGTAGATGCTCGGCGGTCCCGCAAAGGCCGGACGAGGAGCGTCGCCGGCGCCGAAGGGCTGAGCTGATCCGTACTGACCCCACGAAAACACCTGGCCGGGCACGCCGCGACCCGCCATGCCGGGTCCACTGATGGCCGTTCCCTGCGTCATGACGGTGTCTCTGCGGCGCAGATCGCCACCCGGGTAGCCGGGATAGCTGCTTCGGCTGCCTGAATACGTTGACCCTGCGCTGAACGAGACGGACCGTGCGATGGTCTGCTGGCGTCCCATGGGTCCAGGCGGCATATGGGGAGCGGCTTCGTTCAAATAGGGATCCGGAAGGGTGCCGTCAGCGGGCGTCGAGAGGCCGGGCACCCATCCGATGCGGTCCATGAGGGCATCGCTGGCGGTCTTGGGGAAGTTGGACACGGTGATGGGGAGGTGGTCGATGATGATGGGTTTTTTTGCAGTCTCGATCTGGACGCGCAGGGTGTAGGAGACCTCGATGTGTTTTGCGGTCTGGATGGTCATGAGTGTGTGGGTGCGTGGGATCTGGCACGAGAGGTCAAAGGTGTGCGTGTCGCCCTTGTAGACCTTTTTGCCGAAGCTCTTGCTCTTTGACGAGAGCGACTCGGTCTTTTGGGAGGCAGCCTTGTTGGAGCCAAAGGTCTTCTTGGCGCTTCCCTTGAACGTGATGGTCTCGCGGATGGCAAACGAGACGCTCTTGACCTTGATGGGCGAGACGCGCTCCGAGATGAGGATGACGCGGACGTCGACCGAGTCACCGGGACCGTAGCAGGTCCGGTTGCGCATGACTTTGGCGCGGATGTCGTCCTGAATGGTCTCGTGATCTTCGGGCAGGGAGTAGACGGGCCAGGTGGAGTGGAGCTCGTGCTTGTCGAGCCACAGTGGATGTGTGTTCTGGATGATGGAGCTGGTGGTCTCCTTTTTGAGCAGGCCCTTCTTGCTTCTGACGCAGAGCGAGGTGACGAGCTCGTATCCGATGCCTGCGTTCTTCTCGAGCTTGGCGCTGGGTGGAAGCCCCTCCGGGATGGTGACCTGGAAGGGGAAATCGGCTGTCTGCAAAAGCTCCCAGCCCTTTTCTGCCTCGGACTTGTGCGCCTCGTCCTTGCGTGCGGACCAGACGTCGATGGGGCCCCTGCCGATCAGCTCGCCCCAGCTCTCGCCACCGGGGAGCGTTTCGAGCTTGCGAAGCTCGATGCGCAACCATGCTGCTTTGAGGCCCTTTGTGCCGAGCCGCACCTCGACCGTGCCGGCGACGTGAGCAGGTGGACGGTTGCCCGAGCCGACGATTCCTGGAAAGCCTTGGATGAAGTCGCGGTGCGGAGGCGGCCGCAACGTGAGCTTGGGCTGCGACATGGGTCGAGGCGCTCTGCTGCTGCTAAGCTCTGGTGAAGCTCGGGTGGGATGTGTGAGGTGTGTGATGGATGGAGAAGCAAGCGGCGATGGGTTGAGCGCTTCGAGGCCCTGCATGTGGAGTTTGTTGGCAGCAGCAGAGCACCGCCTTCTAGAACTGCGAATTTCGCGCCTCAACCCAACACAGCCCACCGACGGACCCTGAAGTCGAATTTGGCCGCGTTCGGAACCCCCCCGCGCTCTCAGTTGAGCGGACGCACTGGCTTGGCCAACCAAGAGCCAAAGGAGGCGTGGCGTGCATGCGTGCCTTTATGCGGAGAGCGGTCATATCAAGACTCAACTTCTGCAATCCACCACAGACGTGCATCGGCGATCTGCAATCCTCCATATCGGCATCAGATGTACAAGTTGGATGAATCCATCACGACTCTGTATCTGTATACTACTCCCAGCCCTCGACGTCCTTGTAGTCCAGACTGCGTTCCAGGCGTTCGTCGTCGGCCATGAGCTGCGTGATGAGGAAGTCGGCAAAGTCGGTCTTGGTCCAGTAGCTCATGTGGGCGGTCATGAGCTCGGCGTACTGGTTGATCGAGCTCAGCAGGCTGTATCCTTCCACGGGCATGTAGTAGTCGATGCGATGCAGTGGGTTGAGCGCTCGCAGTCTCGCCTCGGCACGCGCACGTCGCTTGTCGCTGATGCCCTTGCTCCTCTCTTGGCTCGCCTTGCGCTCTCGCTCCTCCTTGCGTGCCTCTTCTTCGAGCGCCTTGGCGGCAATCTTGCTGCGCAGATTCTCCACCTTGTCCCGAGCTTCCTTGTCCCCTTCCGTTTCCGAGACGTCTAGGCTGGATCGTGGCGCACCTTCATCGCCCGTCTGATCGTCGTCTGCTCCTCCTCCTGCAGTTGACGCTTTGGATTTCCCTCGCGCAGCGGCGGCTGCCCGCGCCTCTCCCAGCGAAGACGATGCAGCTTCACCCGCTTTGCGACTCCACGAACCAAAGAAGCCCTTGGTTCTCTTGGCCGCCGCTGCTTTGCGCTTGGCAACACCTGCGTCCGACTCGTTGTTGCTGCCATAGCCAAACGACTGCGATCCGCCATCCTCGGCGATGTCGTGATTCTCGGCTTCCGGATCGGCACGCAGAACGCTGCGCACCACCTTGCTCAGCGGCACCGGCTTGAGCAGTTTGGCGTACTCCACATCGACGCAGGGGCTGGCTCGCGTGGCGACGGGGTCAAACTGGTTCCAGATGTTGTAGAAGCTGGTGATGGCAAGGCAGCCATATTTACCCTCGCGATCCATCGTCACGCCTGGCTTGTTCTGCACGAAGCGGCTCGAACGTACGCGATTGCTTCGTGCGATCAGCTGCGCACGGTACAGCACGAAAAACAGCGCCACGGGTGCGCCGACGGCAAAGAAGCTGTGCGTGTTGAAGAGCAAGTGTCGCTGGCTGGCCTCGCGCAGCTCTTGCGCAGTCAAGTCCTTGGTGAGAGGCACACGATCGGGCTGCTGCGAAAGCAGATCCGACGAGATGACAGTGCCGAGACTGTGCGCGACAATGTGCACGCGTCCCTGCTTGGCCTCGAAGTCCGGATTGCGCTTGGCGAACAGACGATACTGCCGGTTGGCCTGCAGCATGGCCGAGCGGATGACGTGACTCTTGTGCTGCGAGAGGTACATGGGAATGTCCATCAGAACGTCCTTGACCAACGTGCGTACGATGGGGATGCCATCATCGCCAAAGATGTGGTCCATCTCGAGCTCGAGACCGTTGTCGTACATCATCGAGTCCGGATCCTCGGCGTCCGAGTCGTGGTCCGCCCACTTTTCGTCGTCCTCCATCTGGTGGAATCCCGTCTGCCAGTGCACCGGCAGAATCTGGACGTGACGCTGCGCCGCTAGACCACCCAGACCTCGACCGCCAATGTCGCTCGGAGGCTTGTTGGTCTCGATGCGAGATTGCAGCAGTGCACGGAAGGTGTTGATGGCCAGCGTAAAGTCAAAGCTCTTCCACTCTCCGGCGAGTCTTTGTCCGATGCCGTGGATGGCAAGCAGCAGCTCGGGGGGACGTTCGCTGCCAGCGCGAGCCTCGCGCCGCTCTTCCTCGTCGTCGAAGGCGTCTGGATCGTCCCACTCGCCTTCTTCCGGATCCTGGGTGGCATCCTGATCTTGCTTTTCCAGCACGGCCGCAGCAGTTTCCGCTGGCTTGGTAGCTGGAGCAGGCAGATCGTCTTGAATCCTGCGCTGCGCTTCCTTGAACGACTCGCTGATGTCGTCCTGTTGCGCCGGCGTGAGCGTGCCCTCGGCCCCTTGATGCGAGTCGGTGTCGCTTTCTTGCTCTCCGGAGGAGGAGACTTGAGCTGCGCCGTTCCAGACGCCGAGTCTGGACGCAACGGAGCGAAGAAGCTCGTTGGCGGGCGCCGAGGTGGACGCCACGCCTCCAGCCGCCATGATGGAGATGTTGCGCAAGGCGGCCTTGGCACCGATCTTGGAAGGCGCTGCTTCAATGTGCGTCCTGTCCACGTTCAACGACGCCTGTGAAGCGCTTGTTGGCAGGGAACGAGGCGCCTGCGCGGGCGAGTCCTGCTTGACCGAGCTGTGTTCCGAAAGGTCCATATCCATCGTCGCTACATCGTCGACAACGACGGCGTCGGATTGCTCGTCTGTCAACGCCTCTTCCAAGCGCCTCTTGAGGTCCTGCGTGCCCTCTCCGGGAGCTCTTGGGACGGAAGCACGTTTTTCCGACGCATTTGACTGCGACTTGGGACGTCGTACGGTCTTTTTGGTGATAGCGCCGCCTCGCTTGGCTTCGTTGAGCTGCACGAGTGTTTGATAGCCACGAATAAGAAGCTGGCCTCCACTATGCTCTCCGCTCCAGGCGGTGAAGAACTGCTTGGACAGACGGTTGGAGAAGCCTTCGTTGTAGAGACGAGCGAGGCGCGGACCCTGGAAGATGACGTAGCTGTTCTTGAGCGTCTTGAGGCTGCACTTGAGCTTGGCTTCGGCTTCGCTGCCGAGGGAGACGGACGACTTGAGCTCGTCGGTGTAGGACGAGAACCACGGGCGCAGCGTCTGAAAGTGCGACTCGAGCTCGGCGGCCAGCGCGGTGGAGCAGGGAGTGAGCTTGCTCGATTCAAAGAACCAGCTTGCGCGCGTGATTCGCAGCTTGGGACCTCGCCAGAAGACGGGGCTCATGGAAAAGTCGGCAATGTCGGCATCGTAGAGTCGGTCCTGTGCGACGGCGACCTTGGAAGGCGAAGGATCCTCGTCTGGGTCTGGGGCCTGCCAATCTTGCGTGGAGTCCGGGAACTCTCCCGCTTGGACCTTGCCATCGTTCTCGGGCAGATCGGGAAGCTCGAGCGAGCCGCCCTGCTGCTGGGTCCATGACTTCCAGGCGGACTCGAGACATCGACTGTCTCTGACGGAAAAGGATTCCCAGCCCTTGCCCGACTCGGTGGTGCGCACCCATCGCCAATGCAGAGCTGGGCCTTGGTCGTCCTCTTCTTCTTCAGCGATGCCATCAGGCTGATGCTCCTCTTCCGTCTCGTGAATGTCGTGAGAAGACGGCTCTCTGGTCTTGGGTGGAGACGACGAGGATTTGCTCCTGGTGTTGGACCTCGTACGCTTTACGAGCGGCTGCGATGCCTGACGGATAAAGTCGGCCCTTCGCTGTTTGGACGACTGGTCGGAAGCTTTGACCGTCTTGACCTGGTCCTCCTCCCCCGTGCTGATGGTCGCTTCATCCTTGTTGCCCATCTTTGTGCGATGCAAAGACGAGATGCTTGGTGGTGAGGGTGTCTGGTCAAGAGCAAAGGGGGGCTGGCTTTTGACTCCCTCCCATGCCTCCACATTTCTCGCATTTCACACTCATCTTTGTCCGTCGCCCCTTACAAAGGCAGTATTTTTGGAAATCCACAGTTTTTACCCTTGGATCCCTAAAAGCGACCCTTTTAGCGATGCAGACGGCCATCACGACGCCTCTCTGGGTTGGGCTGAACTGGCTGGCTGGACCCTGAAATGCGACCGAGGCTCAGTTCAGCCGACCCATCATCCCACCAACACTTCCAGAATCTCTCCTCTCCCTCCCTCGACGTTCACCACGACTGCACTGCTCAACCTGGAGGGACGGGGCACATGGACGATGACCGTCGCAGTGCAGATGGACATCCCGACATTGTGCGCGATGTCTTTGCTCATCTTGCCCAGACAGACATCCTCTTCAAGAAGATCGCTTCAGCACAGGATGGATGCATAGACGCCTCGGCCCTGGCTGCCAGGCGAAGGCTGCGCAGATTGGTGGATTCGACTCGATCAAGCGGCTTCGCGGACGATGCATCAGCTGCGCTCGACGTTGCGCTCGCCAGCCTCACCACATTGACACGACTGTGCGATCACAAGTTCGTCGCCTACAGCTACAGCAGCATTCCGATCGTCTGGAGGGCAATTTATGTGCATGTACAGCTCCTCAAGGCATGCTGTACTCTCATACCTCGATCCAGCCGCAATACAGAAGAGGAGTCCAATCGTCTCCAGCTTTGTATCCGCGACCTGGATCTCGCCCTGATCGTCGCTGGCGCTGCTTCGATCGGCGAGGATCAAACCTGCCATGACCTGATCTCGGCGCTGCAACAACGTCTCCTCGATCTGCCAAGGGAAGACCATACAATCCCATCGAGACCTCAAAATCAAGACGGTGACCCCCCTCTGGCTAAACGCAGGCGGCTCCTCGACTTAGACACGGACAACGTACAGTTCGAGGCGCGCGCACAGGCCGATTCGAGCATTCCCGAGTATTCTTCCGATCAGGCACCTTCGTTTATGGACCTGGCCGACCCCCACTCGCTTCATCGCGCAAAGCCTTTCGTCGTTCGAGCTTTCGCTCAGAATGCCGGCTGGCCAGCCGTGCAGCCTTCTTGCCATCGATCTTGGTCTTCGGCAGAGCACCTCATTTCGGTGGCAGGTCCAGCAAGAGTAGTCCCCGTCGAGGTAGGTGCCAACTACGCACGCCAAGACTGGGGCCAGGACATGATCCTTTGGGACGACTTTCTCAAACACTGCCACTGGGACACGTCTCTGACACCGGATCCGAAGCGCAGCCCAAGGAACACTTCGAACGCGCATCTGCCTGTGCTCTACATGGCCCAGCACGATCTGGCAAGCCAGTTTCCTGCCCTTTCGCAAGACTTCTACTTGCCAGAATACGTCTATACATCGCCACCGCCACCGCCAGACTGGCCAGACTATGCACCGCCAGCAACGCCGGACGGCGCCATCACGAATGTGTGGATCGGACCGGCAGGCACCGTGTCTCCCCCGCACTTTGATCCCTTCTACAACTGTTTTGTGCAGGTGGTAGGCCACAAAGAAGTCTGGGTGGCCCCTCCAATCTGCCGCCCCATCAGAACAAGGACTGCGGCGGGCTTACAGACTGCTGATTCGACCGAAAAAAGCAACGATGCTGACGCACGCGCCGAGTCTAGCGTCACCGACACACTAATGTCCAACACATCCGACGTCGATGTCTTCGGGACCGACGAAGTAGTTGCCTCCCAAGTGCGCTCCGCCGCGTTCCGCTCGGTGTTCGGGCCGGGAGACCTGCTCTACCTGCCGCCGGGGTGGTGGCATTCGTTGCGCAGCCTCACCCGAAGCGCGTCTGTCTCGACATGGTTCTGATCGGCGTGTCGATCCTCCGTTCTACTTGCCCGCGAAGGGCGCCTCTTGGCAACCGCTCCGAGTTGGAGATGGCAACGCCGAGCGGAGTTACGAGGGTTGCGGGGTAGAGGCCGAATTTTGGCACAGCAGAGTCAAAGTCAATTTACGCGTCTCGGTGACGGGACCGGCGGCGGCCTTTGATTCATGCATCCCCCTGCCATCCCCTGCCAGCCAGTGCGAACCTGTCTACGGCCGAGCCAACGTCGGCTCGGGGTGCATAGATCTAATCGACACCGGTCCTGTTGTTCACACCTCAATGGCAGCTCAGGCGGTCATACAGGCTTGCGACGGTGTGAAGACATCTGTCGAGTCTCGTCCTTGGCCCTATCAGAGGCGATGTTTGTCGGCCAGACGTCTCTATATAGAGGGTCGTGTGGCACGACGATGTCGCTCACCACCAACCTTCAACTGCCACTATCTTGCTGGTCACTGTCTCGATGATGGTCTCTCTCTCTCCGTTCCTCGGTGCACTCCTCGCCGTGCTGGTAGCACAGGGCTCCTCAAAGCCCGATTCCGACTTTCGCTGGGGCTATAGCAAAGGTCAGATTCAAGCGGCTATGTCTACAATGCGATCGCACTACGGCAGCAACTATCAGAGTCAAATCTCGACACTCTGCCAGTCTCTTCTCCAGTTTAATGGAACGCAAGGTTCTACGGGAGCGAACCCAGGCTCAGACCAGTCGGACGAATCATCCAAAGGCAATGACGATCTTGCCGACTTGCTGGATACCCAATCTGCAGAGGGTGATGGACTGGAAAGACGTGCGAGAAAGCAGGCTGCTACACGTCATGCAAATGCGCGAAACAAAGGCAAACCTCACCTGAAAGGCTCCAAAGCCGCCAAGACGAAAGGTGCCACGGCCGCTCACGACGCGGCACTGGCTACGGCCAAGACCAGTAAGGCCAAGAATTCGGGCGGGGTCGCCGCCAAGGCTGGCACATTCGTCGCTTTGGATGCCGGAAGTGCTACGACCACACCGGGCACCACATCTGGATCGAACAACAGCACCTCTCTCGGCGCTGATGGTGATGCCCCGGGCAACGGTACTCCTGGCCCAGACACCAACACTCCTGCTTCGACCACAATGCCTGATTCTGGAACCACGACTCCTGGCACGGGCGATACCACGCCTGCCTCGGACACTCCGGGCACTACCACTCCAGGCCCGGGTGATCCGGGGGCCAACCCAGGCACCGGAACGCCCGGATCAGTCTCTGGGGCCGAGGTCACGCCGCCGCCGTTTGTCCTGCCACCCTTCCTGCGTCACATGGATCAAGACATAATTCAGCAAGTGTGCAGGATCATGGTCGACTCATCCCAGCCTGGAAGCTGGACGCCAAAGACTGGCGACGACGACGAAGACGACGGCGACAAGCCGGGACGACCATGGGACCGATGGCACGGGCTCAAGCCTGGACCCGGTCCCGATGGCAACGCAACCACCAATGGCACCGGGTGGGGGCACGATCGAAAGCCGTGGACGATGCCAACTGCCACTGTCACAGTCACTGTCACCCAGACAGCTACGGTCACAGTCACCGTCGACGCTGCACCGACGGTATGAAGCGGTCTCATCGGGACACTGCTGCCGATACGATTCGATAGGCCAAGCTTCGCAACATAGGCCAGCAACAACGTTCGGCGACTTGACCCTCGGGGGCGGTGTTTGGCTCGTGGGTTGGTGAAATCCGGCAATGATCGACCGTACCTGATGGGTGATTGACTCGCGTGGCCAAATCGGGCATAGCTGGTGGAGCATGCGGTCACGGACAGGGATGGGGGGATCATTCACAGGATCGGATGTTTGCGGTGTTTCGCAAAGACGCCGCAGATCGTCGTGCAAGCGGGGGGATTTCGCATGCTCCTACGCGGGTCTCGTGTAAGGCTCCATGCGGTGACGGGCGTGTCTCGCGTCGTCAGGGTCTCGTGGATCCGGCGACACATCGTCCGCTTTCAGCCATGCACTGTTCTCACCCCTTCATATCAGCAAGCGTTGCGTCAGAGTGTTCTGCACCGATAAGCAAGGAGATTAGAATTTTTTTTTTCTCTTTCGCATGCGAGGTGGGCGGAATGGATCTTGATGAAGCGCCACTGATCGCCCACCCGATGCTGCGAGGGGGGATAGCGTGATTGGCACACAGCGTGGGGAAGCGAGACCTACATCCAAGCGAAACCAAACAAATGGCAACTCGCTTGCACTCGCAACCACGCTGGCGCTACGACCTACGACGATCCCACTCTCGTCACCATGACTACGGTGGCGGCGAAAACATTCGAGTTCCGCATCTGTCAACGCACTGTCGGTATTGCTCCGAACCACCACCCACTCGGCTGACGCTTGAATAATGGGTTGCGCTCGCTGAATGGGGGGACGGATGCCAAGGATGAGGAGAATGAGCGCAGAATGACGGAGAAAATTGCAACTCCGATCGGTTGGGCTTTCCGAATCCTCGCCTCGCCTCGTAGCCAAAGTCGCTCCTCTCCGAGACCTCTCGGCGGCGGGCGGTCTGAAAACGGGAAAAAAGAGAAAAAGAGCGCGCTGCTGTGGAAATCCTTTTCAGGCTTCTGGCGTGCATTCGCTTAATCCAGACACCGCCGCCCCACCGACATCTGCAGGTATGGCGACCGATTCTCGGCATCACCAGTTGACCGTCGGCGGTGCTGTACCAAGGCGAAGATCGTTCTGAGCTGCTTACTGTATCTTGCATCAAATTAGAGTGTCACTGTGTTGAAAGCCGATGACCTGGCCTCCGGGCAGATACGCAGCTCGGTCGGCGATGGTGCCTGATGGCGGGGCTTCAAGGGTGGACCCTACAGTAGAGAGATGCGTGACCTGCCTTTTTGGCCGGCCTCTGTTTTGGGTGGGTGTTGCGCCCGGTCGAGGCCCCACATCCTGGCCTTCGTTCACGCCGCAGCGTCTCTGGCGGGCATCTTGATTTAGAGGAATTTTGCGAGATTTGCGGGTGGGAGGGACGCACACGTTAGCTCGCCTTGCACCACGTGCATTTGGGCCTGCCCTGCCCCTCGCTGACTGCAAGCCGGCTGCTCTCTTCAGGGCAGAAAGGCGCACCCGGTCTTCGGTGAGAAGGATCTACCGACATCGGCGTATCGTCGGTGCAGACAAGCTTTGCCTCAAAAGATCCACCACAATCGCCGCAGGGTTCTGGAACTCCAGCTCAGCCAGGCACGACACCTTTCGTAGCTTCATATCCTACTGTACGAACGCCGTCTTCATTTCGATGCACATGAATTTCGCGAGACTCGGTTGACCCATTGCAGCACGACCAAGCGTTGGCGTCAAGTGGGCGGCCATCGGGGAGGCTCCATGGTGGCTGGCTGCAATGCGCGGGGCCGATTCGGCGCCCCGTGACGGCTTGATGGCCCTTTTTTTCCCAAGCTCTCCTCTCGAGGCGAAATTGCTTCCGCGGCAAGGAGGGGGTGCACGTCAATTTCTGCAGGTGGCGCCGACCCAGCTTGCCGCTAAAACTCGAGGTCCGCCTCGCCTGCGCGACTCGCTTCGCGCGCCGACCGCCAGCTGCCTCGCTGCCTCGCTGCCAGCGTCGATTGAGTGCGTCGCCTTGCTAGCTTGCAAATCGCCTCGGATCGCCTCAGAATCGCCTCGGCATCATCGCAATCCGACCCCCCCGCCCCGCATGCCCCCTGGTTGCTTGGGCGAGTAGCAACGCTCGCTTGGCACGCTCATCACCAAATTTCAGTGTGCCCATCGGCCGCCTCGGGATTGCATCACTCTCGCCTCGACTACGATTCATCGTCCGCTGCTTGATCGGTCGTTGCGCTGTGCCACACTCAGCTCAATAGGACGACGGCCCGAGCACTACACATTTCGGGACCTTTGACCGTGGGTTGAAGATTCACAGACGGGCTGGACAGCCAAAGGAAAAGAGGAGAGGAGAAGGAGCGAATATCGATTGGCCGACGCAAGCCTGGTTCGCCTTTGTCTCTGAGCGGGTTTCTAAGGCTCCCGACGTGAAACGGCCCGCGCAACGCGCAATCTCGCCAAAAGAGCGCCAGAGCGGCGTGGTTGTGCAGTTGCGAAATTGCGGTGCAGCGCTCTCAGACACAATTTCGTCGATTCTTAGACACGGCGAGGTGGCCGAAAGACAACCCAGAGGGCGGCCTGCATCTCGCAGCGCGCCGCCGCCACCTGCGCCGTATCCGAAAAAAGAAATCCCAGCCCCTCGACCAGGCGCATGAACAAGGCGACCCTCCGTCACCTTTGACCGGGTTTTTAATTTCTCGAAAAAATTTCCTTTTCGATTCGAAAATTCGCAGGGTCGAGAGCCAGACCACCAAAAAACCCCGAAATCGCAAGGGCAGCCCTCCCCCTTTTTTGCCTTCACTATTCTGCGTCGCCGATGTCTGAGACTGCAACCGGAACTGCAGCTGCAAGCAAGTGCAAAGTGCAACTGCAACTGCAACTGCACCTGCACCTGCACCTGCCCCTGCCGCTGCCCCTGGGCGGCGCCCACTTCATGCAGCCGCTGCAAAAGCAATGCACCGAGTTCTCAGTTTCTGCCGGCCGCGCACTGCGCTGCGCCTTGTGAATCACCCTGGATCCGGGCTCGTGGTCCGGTGTCATTGCGAGCGGCCGTACTGTATGCGCACCAACACACACACACGCACAC